AAATCTCACTCAAGTAATATATTGGATTGAGTGTTTGAACTAGCTGAAGACTTCCCAGTCTTACAGTGCACTTTTTATCTTTTACTGTAAATGGTAAATTATAATGACCATGCTAGAAGGCTGAACAATCCACTGAATTGAAGCAGTGGATTAACAGTTTAATCAATTTATCAGTGGATTAACAGAGGGAAACTGTAGTTTTTGAAGCAGATAGTGTTCTTCTATCAGTACCATTCTAAAAAGTGCAGAGGGTTTTAATTTGAGAGAAAAATGGGCATGCATATTAATCTCTAAGGAAGGGTTAATATGGTGTGCAATTTCACAATTATTTTAAGCCAGTTTATCCATAGGGGACACCATCTCCTCCTATCTCCCGCACCTTTGGCCATGTATTCCTAGCATTTCCTTTTTATCAGCTCTAGAGATCTTTTTATGCAGGGTAAGTCAGATCAGTGAACTGATCCGACTAAGAATGAGTCTACAAATACAAATGATTAATTTTCATTGTAATCAGCTGTCTGATCTAACTCATCTGATAGCTGCCCAAACACTAGAGAAGAAATGAGGGAGAGCCTGGGAAAATAATGGTGGAGAGAACAGCAGCAGGACTGCTGCTTTGACCGCAGCCCACAGTTACATTGGCTTAAGTCTATCAATAAACCACAGGGTCAGATACCCAGCAGTGATAATTTTACACGTCAGCATTAACTGTTCATTCCCTGCATGGGAAAAGAGGGGGTGGAGGTCACAGATCAACACAATTCAATTTGATTGACAGCTAGTTGTTCTTAACTTTCCGCTTTCAACTTGATTTTTTGATCTTTTTGGATAATGTTGCAGTCCTGTCACTCAGGTATGTGATCAGGGATTTGGTTTTGGTCAGACTTCTCCTTAGGGTTTCATGGGCAGGTTAGTTTTACAGCTTACAGAGCTCTACATGACATCTCAGAGATACTGTCTTTCTTATTCGCACAGCTCAAACTCTTATTTGGGCTAGTATGGTCTTGCACTGTGATCATTAAAGCATCATTTTCTCTTGCTTGCCAAATGGAATTCTATCTAGGGTATATTTATTCAGAATATTGTTAAAAATAATTTTCCTGTCACATTAACTGCACTGCACTTCTCCCAGAGTACCTCCATTGTTTCTGCAGTAACACATTTTAAAAATTACTGTATTCTGTCTTTGAGGGCTGTTGTGGCCTACTGCCATTCTTCTTGCCTCGAATTCTGCATTGTAGCGTTAACTGCTGTGTTAGTCTCCATTTTGAACTTGCAATTCTCTTTCCAAGCTGTATCTTATGTTTGAGAGAGCCTCTTACAAGCTGGCTTATGCTTCTTTAAATCTTTTTGTGAATTCTTTCTTACTTGATGCCTACAAACTGTTTGACAGTAGTTCATTAGTAGGCCATTATTATTATACTGACTACTAGTGTTCCACTGCAAAAAGATTAGGATACCTAAGCTGCAAAATAATATTAAAAATAGGAATGTTAATAGTAAATCAATATTGATGTCCGAAACTTGTTGATTCTACTGCTGATTTTCTAACCGAGGAGACATTAATCTGAAGAGCTAAAGAGAGCTGCTGGGTAAATTTAAGCACTACTGGGATGTAATAAAGCATAATGAAAACTTTTTGGCAGAGCTTGGATTAATAGTGCCAATTTTCCCATTTTTTACAAAGCCCAGGATCAGGAAATTTCAAATTATTACATCTATCTCCGTTCTCTAGAACTGAGTATTCCCATTTTCTACTGAAAGACAAGAATGTACCCTTTCATCTATAATTTCAGGTGCATTATGAAAGCCAGGGAAAAGAAAGGGTAAACACTGCATTCAGCAAAAGTTGGGTGCTTGCATATCTATTTGGGATGCAAGGTGTATTGATATTTCTGAGGAAGAGGGCGGAAGACTGACACATAACAAGTTAGATTGTCTATTCTGAAAGTGTCTGCTACATTTGCAACTATTTTTTATGTTTAGCCTGGCTACGAAGAAATACATAGGTGCCACAAATTACAGAGAAAAGATTCACAGCACCTTAACACCATGTGGTACTTTCCTGTTTTCTGGAAGTGAAGATGGAAAGGCTTATGTTTGGAACCCAGAAACAGGTAACTAGTTATTTTATGATCTTAAGCCAGGTTGTCAAGTCTGAAGGGGAAAGGGTTTTGTGAGTCTTACTGAAACACTTTTGACATGGAATAAACTTCAGTAAGATGTTATTAAATCCTGAAGCCTTAGCTCTACCTTTTAAATAGCTATTATTAATCTCTAAGATTTAATTCTCTAGAGGAAGTTAATAGGAAGAGGTAGCATTTCTAATATCCAGCAGGAACGGAGCACTTGAAGCTTGGCTTTTGTGTGCTGCAATTCATTTACATGTGGATGAGGATCTTAAAACGGAATGCACAAAAAAAAGCTTTAAGTCAAATCAGTCTTTCTGTTCTGTTTTTTGGATTTGGGAATAAATCCATTTGGGAATAAATGAGAACCACTTCATCTGTTTCCCAAGGGTGGTCAGAGACTCTGAATATTTTTGGCCTTTGGAATATAAGATTTCTTTGTGAATTATTCCCCAAACTGAGTAGTTCCAAAATAGTTACCAAAATCTTTCTGGAAAAATGTTAAGCAAATGTAAGATAAAGAGTTTGTCACCTTTCTTGTGCAGTGAGGTAAAAGGGACAAAAATAACAGTAGAAGGTAGCAGAAGACACTTTTTGGTTCTGATGACATATTCTGTCTCCAATTATGATCTAAATAATTTTTAAAAAGGAAAAAGTTAAATATTTTAAAACTGTAGCTAACCAACAGTTCTGGTTGAATTTCTCTCCACATTTCCAACTATATTAGCTTACATTTGTGCCACTAAATAATTAGTCTGAAAACTTTAGAAAAGAATAAAAGTAAAAGGAGGGAGGAACTTTGTTAGTGTGTTTTCACCAGGCTTTGACTCTTGCTTGCACACTGTACTTGGGTTCACAATGCAATCAGCTGAAGAGTGAATTTTATTTATTTTTTTAATAATTTTGTGCTCAACTTTCATTCTACTGGCAGTATTGTATAATTGAAATCCACAGCTAAGATAGCTATCTCTGGCAAAATGCAAGCACACACAAATACTGTGGAACGCCACCTTTCCAGGACTTGCTTATCAGAACAAGAGAACTCTGCTAACCTGATGCCTCCTCTGGGGTTTCCTGCAGCTGTTGCAACAGCACTAACTTTTCTGATTTATTGAATAACTTAAAAGCGTACAATAGATTTTTTTTGTCTTATGCCAAATAGTGTTTTTCAATAAGGGAATTGACTCAGGTACACATATCTACAGTGGCAGTCACTGCAGTGTAGTAATACAAGCTTCAACCAACTGTTACTTTGCTGTATCAAATAAGTTTCCATGGTATTAATAAACATATTTCATTTCGATAGGAGATCAGGTGGCCATATATTCTGAACTCTCCTTCACATCTCCACTTCGTGATGTTGCCTTTCATCCACATGAACACATGGTGTCATTTTGTGCCTTCGGTCAAAACCAGCCGATACTTGTATACATTTATGATTATAAAGGTACAGTACATATTTTCTTGATATACACCTATAAATATTTTATTTTGAGAAGTAACTTGCTAGTACTTGTACTTCTTTTGAAGGAAAGAGAAAACAGTCATTTGATGATAATAAATATCTTTATCCCGGGACATATAAAACTGAACTGGACGTGACCCTGAGCAACCTGCTCTAGATGACCCTGCTTTGAGCAGGGGCTTTGGCCTAGCCAATCACCAGAGGTCCCTTGCAACCTCAAGTTTAAATGTGTTATTGTATGTCATCAATGTGATTTTTATTTTTTATTTTTTTTTACAGCGCTTTATCATATATAGACAGTGTCACACAAATGTTTAAAAGCCCCTTTTCAGTATCAAGGTGGATTATGGAGCCAGAAAATTAGTTCATTAATTTACCTTAATAGAAATCTCAGTGCTGGCTATGTTAGAAAAAAGAATATTGAGGAGCTGTATAGTAGTGAGTGAGAGACTATAGATTGTTTTAATAAACAGATGTTAAGTCTGCAGTGTGATTGTGAGAGATATGTTTATTCCCTGTATCGTATTAAAGACAAGGTAGTCATAAATGCTAACTTTCAATTTTTGATAGACAAAATAAAATTCAGACTGTCCTTTGCAGGCTTTTCTGATAGTTGTGGTTTTGTGGTTAGCTTTAGCAGTGTCACTGTTTCAATTAAGGACATAGTTTCAGATGTTATGTTCCATCTGGACAGTAGATAATGTTAATTATGGAATAAATTTTGCATATCTGTGACAGATTTTTTTTGTTTGAATTATATTTACAGTGAACATAGATTTATAAAGCTAGCCCTGTCTTTATACATTTGCTTTTTAAATAGTGTAGTAATGAGATTACTCATATCAAATCTCACAGTTTGGGTTATTTGTCTGTTGAACTGGTTGACTTTTACAGGAAAATAAAGTGGAATGACTTTACAATCGATATTCAGTGCTAAACTTCAACCTGGTAAGGTATCTGCATTCTAGAAAGCAATGGAAAATCTTCCAAGTGAAGCATTTCTTTAAAATTTTTTGACTGTTCAGCAGACAATGACCTTAAAAAGCTAATAGGGTACTATAATATATATGTATGTGTGTGTATGCATATATTTAGAGATCACAGATATCAAATGGGTAGTAATTTGTATCATCTGACTGCTTAACTAAGTCACTGGTGACAGTAAGATTTTGCATAGCTTGTGGTCTCTCCTACATTGTTACTAACTTTTCTTGTTCCTTTTTTGGTTAAAAGCACACACATTGCTTTCAGAAGATAGTCTTACTGCCTTAGTGTTGAAAGAGTTAATCATATAGTAATACTAATTTTAGTCACTGACACAGTTTTTAAGACTCCAACAGTATGTGTTTTACAGACACCAACACTTGTATGAATATCCTGGACAAAACTTTCATGAAAAATTCTTTTAAATTTTTTTGGCTTGAGACCGTATTACAAAAAATTGCAAAAGTCAAACAATTTGTTTAAATAACAATGAGGACAACTGTAATCAAAAGTTTCCTATTGTAGAGCAGGCTACCTCCTAAGAATGCCTCCTGTGCCTGGATATATGTCTAGCAACCTCTGAAATTTTACTCAGGTACAATAAGCTCACTTGAATTTGTCTGGAAACAAGGTGAAACGTAACATACCTGGTAAAATAGCTGACTTGAGCTCAGAGCGAGGTCTTTAACTTTCTTCCCTTTGAAAAATTCCTTTTTCTCCCCTATCTACCCTCACTGCCCCGCCACCCCCCCCCAATATTTCTGCGTGGAGAACACTACCGTTTATAAGAAATATATACAAAAATACTTGTTCTGTATGAGAGGATACTGAACATAGATAACAAAAGGGAGACATTGTGATCAGGAAGATTGAGGGGGAAATAGGGTAGTATGAGGAAATTGTATGTAATTTTTCAGGTTTTCCCTATAGCACCACCAGTACAGATTCTGATGGTGTTTGTCTGAAGAGATGGCTGGCAAAATGACAGTGATCATTCAATTATTTTTTTCTCCCATTGCAACACAAGGCTTCACCTGACACATTAATATTGGTTGTTTCTACAGTTGCACAACAGGAAGCTGAACTTGTAAAAGGTCTCAGTTCATCACTTAGCACAGCTGCACCAAGAGGGCCACAGTTCTTCAGCAGTTTTTCTGAAATTCCTGTACAAAAAAGTTCAGTGGTGTCTCCGGCAGATCAGTTTGTCAGTGTTGCAAGAGCATCAATGAGAATGCAGAAGGTGAAACAAAAACTTGATTCTGTTATGGTAAGTCAAAATCAGTTATTTTACAGAAGTATATAGTCTCAGATGATGCTTATATATAAGTACTGTTACAAATGAGAGAAAATGTAGTCCTGGGATTTGTTCTTCAGAAGTGAATACATCTCTCACTGATATTAATGCACTTGTAAGTTGTTCTTTAGATGAGATTAACTGTATAAAACTAAGTTCTTTTTGTTTATCAAGTATTGATGACCAGGGATTTTTTTTTTGTCAATGCCCATTGCCATTCATATGATTTACTCCACAGATCGTTATGGTTAAGCTTTAGAAAGTTCTCTTTTTTTTCTTTTTTTTTTCTTCACATCCCGCCCTCCCATTCACCTTTAGAATTGTATATGGCATAAATGGCAGGGGTTTCGTAGTGGGGGGTTGGAGGGCTGACCTGTGTGGGAGGAGATCATGGACTGCCCTGTGCTGGGCACAGCCATTTCTAGCCAGCTCCACGAAGGATAATACAGACCAACTGCCCAACTAAAATTGGAACCAACCAGAAGAGCATATGGCATCTCTATGAAAACATATTTAAGAAAGGTCAGTAGCTACTAGGGACTGGAGACACCAGAGCAGAGGAGGAGATGCAAAGGAAAACATGTCAGGAGGCACAAGTGGAGATACAGGAGGAGGGATGTGGGAAGGCACAAAAAAAGACGCAGAAGGAGGCACAAAGGTGATGCAGGAGACAGAAAACAATGCACAAATGGAGAATACAGAGGGAGATAACAGAGTAGGCATAAAGGGAAAGACAGGAGATGTGTGAGCACACACAAAAGAAAACACAGGAGGAGGTACACCTCTGAAGGGACTGCAACCCATGGAGGAATTCATGCTGGACAGATACAATCCCCAAAGGGATTTTGGCTGGTGAAGAACTCAGACTAAAGCAGTTGAAAGGAGTAAGAAAAAAGGAGAGGCAAAAAGAGCAAGCCACTCTGCGCTAACCCCACTGTCCTGCACCAACCATTGCCTTACCAAAGGGACTAAGCGTAACATAATGACAAAAGCAAGGAGACAGGGGACTAGAAAGGAAGAAAGTGAGGTGTCTGAAGCAAAGTTGAGACAGACAAAGAGGGACGAAAAGTGTTTTCTTTGGGTGTTTTTTTGACTATTTGCTTTGTTTCTCAATACCCGCACCAGTAATTAAAGCTTTTGTAATTGGCAATAAATTTAATTAAGTGAAATCCCCCAACTTGAGATAATTTTGCATGCATCAACGATCCAGACTATTCCTGAATAGCGCTCTGCGGTTATAGTTACTGATCACAATGACATGAACTGCATTTAGGTTAGCGCTTATTATTTTTCATTTTTAAGTACTTTTGAGTGCATATAGAGTTGGGGGGTTTTTTTAATGTAGTTTTAGACTTTGTCTGCATTAATAAGTAGTGAAGCACAAAAGAAGCAAATGAGTAGACGAAAGCAATTGTTGCTGAGGATGCTGTAGCTAAGGGTGCTGTAGCTACTCTCATCATGCTGTAAGGGTTTTGCTTTGGATTAGATCTAGTCTGGTTCCCTGGCCTGAACATCGCCATTAGGCTGTGCTATGAAACTACCCAAAAGCAAGCTATCCTACAGTCCTTAGCCTTCTGGACTGTGAGCTCCCAGTGGACTCCTTTATGAAATACCACGCTATAGCTCACATGGATAATGGTAGCATGTGGCTGCTGCCTTTACAAGTACATGTAATTCCTCACACAAGGAAGCAAGCCTTGTTTCTGTTTTCTGCTTATTTTGTTCCTGCTCATCTACAAGTGAGCCCTTGTGCTTCAAGTTGTTTATCAGTCAGAGAGGGACACAATATGGAGAGAATGGAGCGTGTAACCTTGTGTCTGGGACAAGTACTCCAGGAAGACATTCCAGAAGAAATTATTTTTACTGTTCTGGTTGTCTTGTCATCTGAGGAAGAAGATGGGGATAATGAATTCTGGGAGTCTTTCTCATTGCAACTGTTGAGTCCCTGATTAGCCAGGGCTTCTGCACTGTGGGAGACAAATCTGGTTTCCCAGAACCATGTGGTGGTTCCATGGAACTGTGTAGCTAGATGAAATAGATAAGCCTACAACTGTGTTTAAGAGAATAACTTTCAGCCACTGGAGTTCTGTGACCCTAGGCTTCCGTTGCTCCATTTTGGACAGCATCCTCCAAACCCTGTACCCATGGACCATATATATGGGAGATGTCAGAAAGGCCATCTGAGTCTTCTGACCATGTGGGTTTCCAGACAGTACAGGATGGTGGTTGAGAGAATCCACATCCAGTCTGATGTCTGTCACATAGTGGTGATGTGACAGATTATAAAAGCTGAGAGTGCTTCCTTGCAGGGCTTTATCAACCACTGAGATATTGGGAGGAGGTTTTTTTCATTGAAAGGACTTGGATCACTGAAAAGATGAGTATCAGCATGAGACTCAGGGGACAGTGGTACCTCCTTTACAAGCAGGGATAGGATTATTTCTTGTGTGTGGGTATGGTATTGCTTGCCTGCATTATCAGAGATTCTGGACAGCCCCAGAGTATAATATATCAACTCTAAGACTTAAAATTTCTGCGAATTTGTAATTGGGAATTGCAGTTGTGGATGTGTATGCATTTACATGTTACAGCTCCCTTCTTCATGTGAAAAATGGTGCATGTATGTAAGTGCGGGCTTTGCTGGAAGGCTTGTTGAATGCACGCTCACATAAATACTTTGCTGAAGTGTTTGTCAAAGTAGGCCTCGAAAGTTGCCGCTCAGCCATAAATGTGAGAATGTGCTAATGTGTCTGGGTACAGACAAGTGAAAACAGAGAAGGGGAGTCTTTATTAAGCCACACTTGGTGTGGCAGGCTACCCCGTGATAGGGTTGGAATATGAAAATCTAAACGAGAATGCAGGTGTTACCTTGTACATATTTGTCTGATGGGAAAAATAAAAGGGAACTGGAAACTGTGTAGGCTTTGTACTGGTCTTTGGGTCATGTTTGCATGCCAGTACCTTGTCACAGATAAGTAGGGATTACCATGTTGGGACAAGCATGTTGGCAACGTACCTTATAGACAGTAAACCTGTAAGGTGAGGTCACACCTGGGGTCATACTCTATGAGACAAAGGTGCTGCAACCTCCCAACAGCAGATCTGCCAATACCAGGGTCTCTGGGTTCAATGTGTGTGAACTTAACAGCAGTAACTGATGGGTATAAAATTAACTTGTAAGTGCAAAGTTTGGATGTCTGTGACTTAGATGTATGATTTGCAAATGATGTGAATATGTTAAAATTTGGTATAAGCTGGCTGGAAATAGAGTATATTCTGATCCTGTGTGATGTCAGGGTTTTTGTGTTGTTACCAGTGCCTCCTTTCCAGATCCCTTTAGATCCAATGTTTTTTCTTCATTTTGTTTTTCTTCTTTGCTACCTAAACATGAACCTTAATGAATAATAGAGGAAGTTTCTTTTCTTTTCCCTTGCCACATTACCATTCTTGTTAGCCCAGAAAATGTGTAATTATAACCGAGTGTTGAGTATTGGGCTAACACTTTAGCAAGTCACAAAACCTAGGACATCCTGTTACAGAAGGTAAATATGAATTTCTCTGTGAAAACAGAATGTAGAATTGGCTTTTTTACCACATAGAGAAATTGCAGTATAGTGAATCTTGGCAGCAATTGTTATTTATCTCTGCCTCAAGGAACTAAGGCTAATGTATGTTTCTATTCACAGAAGTTTTTTGTAGGAAAACACTTAACTGATCTCTAGTTATTGAAAGAACTCAGAAGTGCTTTTCATTGTGTTACTCTTTATGTATTTAAAATTTCACTTCATCTGGCAATCAAAATACATGTTTATAACTTTGCATAACAAGGGGGTGATATATTTTATGTAGATATGGGAAGAAAGGCTTCCTTTATAGTATCCTAGCTCTGAAGTAGTGATTTTTAGATGGCAAAATTTTCATGCTGTAATTTGAAGGAAGAAAATAAAGCTTTGTAGAGCTTAAGGACAGCATCAATATATACTCTGTAGTACTAGTCCTGGAGTCAACTATATGTTGGCTGCCTCATCTCGCAATATGTGAATATTTCTAAATTAATTAAGAGTATGTTTGGCTTTTCCAGTCTCTACTTCATGATATATTTCTGAAAAATGTTATTAAAAAGGTTATCAAGTGGTTACCAAAATTCTGGTGCTCGGAGGGTTTTAGGTGCAGTTATTGGACAAGTAGAATGTAAAAGTATTCTTTCCTATATACAAAAATACTTACAACTGTTTGAATTTTTGTTGTCCTTTGAGTGTGTTTATTGCTATTTGAGAACTCATTAAGGGAGTAGGTACTGTGAGAGAATCCAGAAACTTATATTTGGGATTGCATCAAATGCATTGAACTTTCATGATTAAGCTGTATGACTATAAAGTATGGTTATATATGATGTTTATATATATATATATGTTATGATACAACAAATGCTATACTGTGATGGTCTCCTTTTAGAATTTAGTTGAGATGCAAAATATAACTTGTGTGAAAATAGAAGAGAATTTAAAGCCACTGCTTTTCAGAAAAAAACATGCAACCTTTTTAGTAAACACATAAACATGGTACTGATACTATCTAAGCCATCAAGTGGAAGAAGCTGGAAACTTGTCCTTTTGTCTGCAACAAAGACCTAGAGTCAGAGCTGGATGCCAAAGTGGTGTGTATTTTTTATGCTACCGTTGTCAGCCTTGTAAGAATCTGTCCTCCATATCATTTTGGTTTTGGTAGATTCTGAAATACCATGCTTGGCTTCTGGGTTTTAGTGCAGATGAGGAAGAAAAGAGTTTTTTAGTAACTTATAGCAAGTTCTACCTGAAGGTGGGAAAACAGAGGACTGAGGACCTTGTTAAAACATTGCCAATTCTGTGAATGTTTCTGGCCAAGTACAAGGTGATGCTGCAATGTCTCTGAAGGCTGAAATAGCTTTTTCACTTGATCATGCCTGCAATACAAAATTTTTATCTACCAACTGT